GCCGGGACCCAGCGCGGACCTGTCTGGATGCAAAGGGCAACTTTCTTTGTCGAACGGGGCGGAGAACGTTGCCGCGGGGTTCGGCCTCGATCCATTTCGGAAGCTATTACTAAGATCGGGCCCATGATGGGCAACTAGAGCCCCCTTTCAACCCACATGCAAAGGCAAATGACTCGTATGACTTTGTAAAACAAGGCGTAGAAACAATGGTCGATTACCTCATTCTACAATGTATGGCGAGGTGCGGGAAACAAGACAGAGAGACATGTCATCGGCGTAGTTTTTTTTTTTCAGTTTCGGCAACTTTGACGGAATACTTTTTGTCATGTGGGGTCGTGTCTAAATAGTCTTTTGTCTATTATTATATTGGACGTAGACTTATCGGCTGTACGTAGGTCCATATGCATAAATCCGTCAGCCAAACTGTTGCGTAAACTAGTTGCATGGCCCGCGAGTAGATTTTTCGGATCAATACTGTATTTTGATCTAGTCTAGTATCTAATACCCGGATCTTTTTTTTTTTTTTTGGTCTTTTTCTTTAAACCAAAGTTATGAACAAGTCTATTAGTCACGCAGCAAGCAAAGCTGGCCGTGTAAAAGGTTCATCGCACGTCGTGTATCCGGTGATGGCACGACACAGGATATGCATCCAGAGTCATCTACCTCCCCCCTCTATAGTTAGCTTCTAGACAAAATTCAATACAATACATTCAAATGTACTCACCGAGCGGCAGTAGAGTAGACTCTATACTCGCAGCTTTCAAAATCGCAAGCACCCGGCTCGCCAATGGAAAAGTACCATCGGCGCGATTGCATATCAAAGTAATGATGCTGGCAGTCTGCGAGGTGGCCACTTTGTTCTGTCCCAGCAGTATTCTTTTCGCAGACGACAGAGAGAACCGACTTGGTCTCTTGACAGAAGAGGACGGCGACAATTGAGACGTGCTTGTAGTGATGAGTTGCACTGTAGTAGACTTTTGAGGAAAAAACTTCTTTTTTGGAAAACAACAAGAAGTGCCTCGTGTCCAGCGTACATGCAAAATGCAAGCATCATCCTTTGCAGTGATTGCTCGGCAAAACGTGGCAGCAAACTTGAGAGACGCGCAGTCCGTGTCGGAATCAGTGTACGACGACTCGCACTTGTCGTCGTCGTCGTCGTCTGCGCGCCTCACAATCGTGCCTAGCGCCAACGGACGCTTGACGTTTCTGATGCTCAGCGTAATGGCCGTCGGCGCCGCCGCCGCCGCCAAGTGCCGAATCGCCAGCGCGTGCACCACTTCGGAGCCGTGCTGGGTGAGGGCCGCCGCTTCCGCGAGGGACATGCGCGGGATGAGCTGCGCGCGGGCCACGCGCGAAGGGTCGGCCGTCATGATGCCGTCGACTTCTTTCCAAATCTGCAGCTCGGCGGCGCCGAGGCCGACGGCGCAGAGGGCCGCGCAGAGGTCGGTATAGCCTCGCCCAATCTCGGACGCGAGCATGCCGCCGCCGCCGCCGCCGGGGTTGTGCCCGAAGAAGCCGGTGATGACGGGCACGCGCGGGCCGCAGGCTAGTAGACGGGCGGCGATGACGGTGGACAGCTCTGCGTAGGCTGCGTCGCCGGCTCGCACGGCTAAAGGACCTCGTCGTGGGAGAATGGTGGATAAATCGACATATTCTGCTTCAACACCCTGGTGCAAGACTCGGTCAGTGCTGCGAGTCTGAAGAAGAAAGAAAAAGCACAAAAAAAAAAATAGAAAAAAAAACACAAGTTCTTACTAGGTCTTGTAGAATGGCAAGCAATGATAGACAGCTGAGCTTTTCTCCCAGGCTGATTAGCCGGTCCTGAACCAAGTCGTAGTCATAGTCGGATAAAGTCAAGGCTTCCGCAACAGCCGAGACTGTGACTTGACCTTGCAATGACAAACTCTCAGCGAGTCTGTCTCGAGAGTCTTCACTTTCAAGTGAGGGTGCCGTAGCTGCAATGTGCTCCTGTATAATAACGTCAAGGCTGGTTCGCAGTGCTGCCAGGCTATCGCTGTGCTGTACACCGCGAACCCTTGCTGCCTCGAATGCGTTGAAAATATCTATTAATCTGTATGCGTTATTATCAGTAAGTTTTCCAGTACTTTTTGAACTTTGGTTTTTATGCTTGTTCTCGAAGCCAATGTTTTTTTTTTTTTTGGTGCTTACCGAGTCGTGGTGCCCGCCACTTTGGACGTTGTGCTCCGTGCCGAGCACACCACTGCAACCCGATTCCGTCGCAGCGTTTCCCTGCATAAGTTTTAAAGTGTCAAAGTTAGTTTTATGCTTTTATTCTTGTCTGTTGGGAAATAGGCGTTCTCATGCAAATAAGTTTGCCAGCGCTCTCGCCACACCGTACCTTATTATATCTTGCGCAATCTGTCAAAATCGCCAATATTTGCTGAAATCAGTAATTTGTGCATGGGACAAATGCAGCAGACACAACGACATGCCCAGGGCCAAAACATACCCGAAAGGCATACTTTCCTATGCTGGTGCCGCCGTATTTTTGGACTACCCATTCAAGCTCCGGGTCGTTGCCGTATATCAAGCGTCCCATTATTTTTTTTTTGAAAGCTGTTTGATTCCGCCGGGCCGTTCGTGAAGGTCGGGAGCAGCTGATCTTGGTCCGAGACGATGCCTTTCATTTCTATCTCATCTCACCTATGGCGATGCCAATCATTGCTGACCTTTTTTAATAAATCAACGAGTTTCTCCGAAGCGCGCTGGAGAATCCGGATCCGTCGCATGTGCAACAGGGCATACATACAGTTTCCAATAGGCCACGACCTTGATGAGACCCGATTCGTCAGAGTCTTTGGCCCCCGGTTCTATTTTCAAGGAATTACGAATTATTGTTATTTTAGCCGACATTGTTGATCACCCATCTCTTCATGCAGTGGAATGAGTCGCCATCAAGGTACATGCAGCGATACTAATTACGCATCGTCGCTTACACAGCCTCCCTCGGTCAGTTGGGATGCCATCGCCATAGTTGGTTAGGCTTCGCTAAATTGAGCAGATTCTCGAAATCTCGAGCTAAAAATCGAGCATGTTCCCACCTTGTCCGCCCCCCCCCCGATTTCACCCTTGGCAGCAAGATGCCTTTGCAGATGAAATGGTGCCGCTTAGCCGGCTAAACGCCTTTGGATAACGTATTAGACACGCTGCATGGGCCAAGCTTATGCGCCAAGTTGCAACGCGAACGGGCTTTGTATTTTCTGTCACTTATAGTCTGACTGCAGCTCGGCATTCGCTGCTGCATGCATGCATGCATGCAATGCTTTTTTGCTGCGACAAGCTACTTGTTCCGTCATCATTTGCTGGGTCGAGAGGAGGAGAGAGAGTGAGAGAGTGAGAGAGTGATTGGCTGGAGAGAGACGGGTGGAAACAAACTATCCCGGCCCCCCTTGGGGAATATCAGAATGTATTATACGGATATACACGACACGTCTTCTTTTACCCCTTTGCCCCTCTTGCTCTTTTCTGCATTATCCACAACGGGTCGGAAACAATTTAGATCATCTTTAACCATGCATTATACTCCATAAAACTAGCGAAAAAAAAACTAACAACAGCCGAAAAAAGAAAAAGCAAAAAAAAAAATCTAGTTACATTTGCGGTACGAGTGGCGTAGGGCGAGCCAGTGGCACCGATTCGAGCCCGGAAACCGCGAGCACGTCCTTTCCGAGAGTCACACGGTCATCGTCACGGTTGTCGTCCCTGTTGACGACGGCGTCGGCTGCCCGCATGGCCTCCAAGCACGCCATGGCCAGGGCCTTTTGGTCCTCGAGGCCGACCGAGATGCGCACAATGGCCTCGCTCAGGCCGTACCGCGCGGCCCACGGCTTCTCCTTGGCAAAGACGACCTGCACGTACGGTAAGGCCAGCGTGACCTGGGCGCCGATCGAAGGGCCCTTGCAGACGTTCAGGGCGTCGAAGAAGGCGGCGGCGGCCTCGACGCTGCAAAACTCGAGCGTCAGCAGGTAGCCAAAGCCCGGGACGAGGTCGTCGGTGGCCTGCCTCATGCGCGCCGCGTAATTTTTGGCGGACCAGCCGCAGGTGCTCGGGTGGAAAACGTGGCTGAGCGGGCTGCGGTCGTGGTGGTGCCGGGTGAGGGGCTCGAGGAGCGAGACGAGGTAGGACGCGTTTTGGTTGAGGATGGCGGTGCGCGCGAGGTAGTCCCGACTGTTAAGCTCGAGCTGCGCGGCATCGGCGCCGTAGAGCGTCGGCGCGAAGGCGGCGGAGAAGAGGGCGCGCAGACGGGGGTAGTGGGCGCTGCACGGGTTGATGACGACGCTGCCGCCCATGACGTCGGCGTAGCCGCTGAACGTCTTGGTCAAGGAGGTGACGACGAGGTCGGCGACGCCGAGCACGTCGACGTTGGCGAAGCTGCCAATCGTGTCGTCGACGACGACGACGAAGCCGTACCGGTCGGCGAGCCTGCGGATGCGGTCCAGGTCCACCGTCCGCAGCAGCGGGTTCGAGGCGCACTCGCACCACACTGCCTGGATGGGCGGCGAGTGGCCCTCGGCGGTCTTGGAGACGAGCAGGTGCTCAAACTGGTCCAGCTCGTCGTCGGTGCCGAAGCCGTAGAAGGTGCAGGCCTTGGCAAAGTCCTCTTGCACCTTGAGCGTGAGCTCGTACGGAAAGCCAAAGACGACCATTTGCGCGCCGGGCAGGCTCGCCCCCAGCGCGTTGGTGCAGTTGTAAATGGCCGACATGCCGGTCGGGTACAGCAGGACATCGTCCGGCTTGACGAGCTGCTTTCTCGGGCCGCCGACGGGGGCACGATCCAGCAGGCTGGCGATGCGCTGCTGAATGACAGTCTCGGCCGTCTCGTCCCTGGGAATGGGCGTGTCGGCGGCACTGCTGGAAACGGAGACGGATTCGATTCCTGGGAGCATGTCCTGCGCCAGGCGCGATGAAATGCCACACCCAGTAAGGCGCCAGAAAATCAGGGCATTCTTTGCGTCCTCGGCAGGGAAAAACGCAGCATGCAGCGTCATTTTTTTCTTGCCGGCATTGCCCACCACGTCAAAGCTAAAGGACTGGATAGAGACGTGTTGCTCGTCGACGCCTTTTGAGCCATCTGGAGGAGAGCAGAGATAGTTTTTGCAAGCAATGGCATACTGGTGCATCGGAAACAGCAGACAGGACTGGCTGTCGCTGCCAAACCGGTCCAGAAGCACGCGGTGGGCTTTGGCAATGGCCTCGTGGAGAAAGGATCTCGGGTAGCCTCCCTTTTGCACCGTCCGGACGCGAGACTCGCCGGCGGAAAAGTCCACCACGTCTCGCCATTTGGGCAGATGCACCGACACGGCGTGCGGTCTGTCAGGCACGCGTTGGCCGAGGGAAGGGGGCTGCGGCAGTGTAGAATATGCAGACATTATGCACGTTCTCGTAATGAAACAAGGTTTTATTGAAGCGTAAAACTCTTTCTTGCAGTCTCTAGAAGGAGAGAAGGGATTAAACTTGTTCTGCCTCGTTCTGTTTATTCATCAGATATATAGCAAACTCTTCTTAAGCCAATATGCCAAGACCCAAATTCCCACAGAGGAGAACGAGCAATGCCGGACTGGGGAGGGGGGACCGAAAGCCGGCAGTTGGAGAGATCTCACTCGCTTTCATCTTCCCTGTCCCAGACGGAGCCTTCTTTTCAAGAGGACCCCATTACTCATCCCCGGGGATCCATCACGGATATGTCGGATCCCAGCTGCCTAAACGAAGTAAACCCACCTGTCAAAGGAGTTTGTGCTATGCCGGACCGCGGTTCATTATGCCCTATCAAGGTCCGCAGTCAAGAAAACTTGTGTGGACGCCGAGTCCAGCGGGGCTGCCGGCCGGGAAACTTCGTGGGTGGAGTTGATGATCGGGGGGCTCGGGCTGAGAAAACTGCTCATCTAGTAAGATTCGATCAAATTACGCTATTACCGTCGGCCCATCACGTTTTCGGTAAGGAAGCGAACCTATATCAATGCGTGGGCGGCAGCAGGGCTTTTAGAGGATTGTGGAACGCCGCTACTTGTCCGATCCGTGTAGTCCTTTCCTCCCTCCCTCTTCCCGGCCGAGAAACAAAGAAAGTAAAGAAAAAGCCAAAAACTAGACTTCATTACCATGGAGTATACAGTATATGGCTACGAGGTATGATGCTGCTAGAATAATGGTTATAAATCGTTTGGGGTATTTGTTGCTGACCCAGCAGTAGGGTAATCCGAGAACACGGATTCTCCGAATCATTGTAAGTGGGCGATGCTGCTACCTCTTCGATCCAAGCTGCATAGCTGATGGTTCTTCTTCTTTTTTTTTTTCTTTCTTCGCTGCTAGGCACACTCTCAAGACATCAAGGTCAATCTGTCAGAGGTAGTACCACGTCAAAATCTCAACAGAGATGCATTGATGGAAAAGTTCCCTCGGAGTCGGGGCAAGATTCCCGCGCTCGAGGGAGACAAGGTCAAATTGACCGAGGTGCCTGCCATTGCCTATGTAAGAGACATTCAAAGCAGCAGCAACAAATTGATTATTGGTTTTCTGACTCACTCGCGGGGCCGCTAGTACCTCGCAAAAGTGAAGCCAGGCCGCCTACTTGGTGATGGCTCGCTCGAGCAAGAGGCCGAGGTCCTGTCCTGGGTGAACTGGGCAAACCAAGAACTGCTCGTCATCATGAGCAAGTGGTAAGAAGAAAATTTCCATCATACTCCCATCACTGCTGTTTCCTTGCACGTGACTCTAATGCAATTCTTCTTTTTTTTTTTCTTTCTTGTGTCTAGGTTCCTGCCCCTCATCCCCGGACTGGCCCGACCCGCGCCGTACGACCATGCCGCTGTCGAAGCGGGCAAAGCCGCCACGCTCGCGTTCCTCGACAACCACGAGGCGGCCATCAAGGACAAAAAGTTTCTTGTCGGCAACGATTTCACGCTCGCGGATATTTTTGTCGCCGTTTACATTTCGCGCGGGCTCGAGTGGATTCTCGGCGACGAGTGGCGCCGGCAGCACCCGGCGACCATGAAGCACTTTAACCTGGTTGCCAACTGGGAGCACTGCAAGGCGGTTGTGCCCGTGTTTAAGCAGGTCGACGTGGAAGTGGCCAATGTGAATCCATACGCTGCTTAGATGTTGCAAAGAACCAACTTGAATTTTATAATCTCTCCATTTCAATGGCAAGGAAGGGTCTCTGTCAGGAGGATAGATTAGACACCAGTAGAAACTCTAGAGTCAAGAAAAAAAGAGGCAGAAAACTATCACAATAGTATCACCTGGTTCTAAGAGGTATTATAATTACATGCAATCCCTTTTTTATTTCAGAGTAACCAGCTCCTCGGCGCTCGTCGGGTGAATGGCGACGCAGCTGTCAAAGTCGGCCTTTGTGGCGCCCATCTTGATGGCGACGCCAAAACCCTGGAGCATCTCGCCGCTGCCGAGACCCAGGATGTGCAGGCCGACAATCTTTTCCTCGGGGCCGGTGGTGATGAGCTTGTAGCTGGTCGGGCCCTTGTCTTCCTGCTCCATCATGGCGTAGTACATGGCCGTGAAGCTCGTCTTGTAGACCTTGATATTGTCCTTGCCGTACTTTTCAATGGCCTGCGGCTCGGTGAGGCCGATGCTGCCGACTTCGGGGTGGGCAAAGACGACCGAGGGGATGTTGTCGTAGTCGAGCTTGGTGGTGGAGAATTGCTCGCCGCCAAACAAGCGGTGCGCGAGTTTGCGGCCAGCGGCAATGGCAACGGGGGTCAGCTCGACTTTGCCTGTGGCGTCGCCAAGGGAGTAGATGTTGTCGACGCTGCTGTTTTGGTACTCGTCCACCTCAACGTAGCCCGCGTCGTTGAGCTTGACGCCAGCTTCTTCCAGACCGATACCGCGAGTCTCTGGGGTACGGCCCACGGCCCAAATCAGGTGGTCGACATCGCTAAGCGTGGTCTCGTTGCCCGAATCATCCTTGTACGTAACTGACAGCTTTCCATTGGCGCCCTTCTCAATCTTGCTGGTATTGGCCTTCTTGTGCAGCTTGACTCCCAAACGCTCGTACTCCTTGGTGACGGTCTCTTGGATCATGGGGTCAAAGTGACGAAGGAACGTGTCGTGGCGGATAAACAGATGCGTCTCGGTGCCGAGCGAGTTGAACATGCCAGCGAATTCGACGGCGATGTAGCCGGCACCGACAATGGCGACCTTTTTGGGCTGAGTGGCAATGTCAAAGAAGTCGTCCGAGTTGATGCCGAGCTCAGCACCGGGGATGGAGGGCGGCGCTGTCGGCTTGCCGCCAACAGCGACGAGAATCTTCTTGGCGTTGACGAGGACCTTGGAGTTATCGTCGAGAGTGACCTCGACCTGATTCTTGGAGACGAGGCGGCCGCTGCCGTGAAGGTATTCGACCTTGTCGTTGCCGAGATTGCGCTCATAAATGCCATTGAGGCGCTTGACGTAAGCGTCGCGCTTGTTCTTAAAGGTATTCCAGTCAAAGGGCGCAGACTGCTGGACGGAGAAGCCGTAAGCCTTGGCGTCGTGAATAGTCTCGGCAATGGCGGCGGCGTTGAAGGTGACCTTTTTCGGAACGCATCTAGCGAGAAAACCGTTAGTCGCTCGCTACGTCATGAAAAAATCGTGAGCTATTCATGGGAGCAGGTACATACCCAACGTTGACACAGGTACCGCCGAGGCGCTTGTTCTCAATGACCATGGCCTTGACGTCAAACTTGGAGCTGGCCATGCGGGCAGAAGCTAGGCCGCCGCTGCCGCCGCCGAGGACGAGGTAGTCGATTTCTTTAACTGTGGGCGCCATGACGGGCGAGGTTGTCGACAAGTGTCGGGATAACGAAGCGATTCGCAGCGGGGCAGCTGAGGTGAGTTGAGAGGTTCGGGCGGCGCGGGCGAAAGAGTGCATGGAAGAAGCAGCTTCGACAGAGAATCTGTGAAGCGGGGCAATGTGTTTATAACACGGCAAAGAGGTTTAGAGGAAGGGTAGAGGGGGGATGTGTGGTGGGGGAGGGGATGACGTCTTTTATGGTGAGCGATTGAAGCTGCATTTTGACATCTCTGCCCATTAGCGTCGTGTCTGGTGGCGCGTTTGGTTGGCCGGAGAGCTCAAGTGGGTTGCGGGCATGAAGCCGGTGCTGAATAATCGCATCTATCACGTTAGGAAACTGCCTGCCAAACTGGATGGAAGAATCCAAATAGCATGCCGCAAAAAGGTCGCATAGACTAGTTCATTTGTCAGCGCTTCGGCCGAACCGTGAAGGGCGGGCGTCTACGATCGGACATTTACCCCCCAAATCGGAGCAAAATATTCCATATTGCTTCTATTCAAGGTTCAAAGAACGATGATGTCAGTATTCATGGCAGTTCGACTAAGTTTGATGAAAAGGCGGCGCGCGCCTAGCGAGGAGCTACCACACTACCTAGGTACCTGTTAATGCCTCTCTACCTTGCTGATAATTACAGGCATGTTTGATAATTACAAGCAAACATGCCAACGGAGACGTTGAGCGGCTGGTGCTTGAGCTGCCGGGTCGCCATCATTGAGGTTGCAAGTCATCAGGTTACTGCTGGTGATAAATGAAGACGACAAAACTGGACTTCCAAAGCGCATTGTATATACTTTTCTTTTGCGACCAACGAATCATTTATCCCATCTCGTTGCCTGGGGCCGGTTGCGCCACACTGTGCCACTGTGCACAGCCACTCAACGCCAAAGCTAACAATGGCTCGTAATTGGTATCCGCCAACCTCCAACCTCGCTTCCAACCGCCGGTGAGCTGAAAGCTGCCTAGATTGTTCTCTGCACCTCCCTCCTTCACAGCTCTCGACGTCCCTGTCGCTCGAACTGCATGGTGCATCGCCATCCTCCTTCAACCAATTAGTGAACCCATTGGACCTCCATCACAACGCATCTCTTCTGTCCGCCTCATCCGACTGCCCCTGATACGTCACCTCCATAAAACCCCACCTTGTCCAATCCAACAGACGAGCTCCAGCCCGACTGCAGCCCAACATGTCGGCCGACGCGGGCCCCAGCTCTGGTAATTGACTCTTCATCATTCCCCCAAAATGGACTCCTCGCGGTATTAACAATGTTCTATTATCCAGCCGCCCCGCCAAACCTCAACTTGACTCCCGACGAGAAGAGAGTCTATGGCCAGCTCTTCCGCCAGGCCGACACCGATGGCGTCGGTGTCGTCACTGGCGATGTCGCCGTCACCTTTTTCGACAAAACGCGCCTCGACTCACGTATTCTGGGTCAAGTTCGTTCCCCGTTTGATAGTCCATATAGCTACAACCTCTACTAACCCGTCTTTCCTCTAGATCTGGCAAATCGCCGACAAGGAGAATAGAGGCTTCCTCACGCCCACCGGCTTTGGCATCGTCCTACGTCTCATTGGCCATGCTCAAGCCGGATCCGAACCGACAAACGAGCTCGCACTACAGCCTGCCCCCATACCGCGATTCGATGGCTTCGCGCTGCCTGCCGTCACCTCTCCTATAACGGCCCAGCACTCCGGAACTCCGGCCGGTGCTCGCATCCCCCCTCTGACGCCCGACAAGATTACACAATATAGAAACCTCTTTGACCGCCAGCCTCTGCAAGCCGGTCTGCTCCCCGGAGAGCAGGCCCGCTCCATCTTTGACCGATCTGGCTTACCAAACGAGACTCTTGGCCGCATATGGGCTTTGGTCGATACAGAACAGCGCGGAGCCCTCTCTGCGCCAGAGTTTATTGTTGCCATGCACCTGCTCACTTCGACGAACTCCGGTGCCCTCCGCTCGCTTCCCAATGTCCTGCCACCCGCTATTCTCGAGGTCGCTGCTGGCCGTTCACCCGCGAGACAGTCACCGCGTACTAGCAGCGCTGCGCTTCCCCGTCAGCTCACCGGGCAACTCACCGGGCAGCAGCCGCGTACGGGAAGCCCTCTTGGACCGGCTCCCCAAGTAGCTGGCGATTGGCTTGTTACCCCGGCCGATAAGGCGAGATTTGACCAGCTATATGCAACTCTCGACAAGACAGGTGTTGGCTACATTACTGGCGAGGAGGCTGTTCCCTTTCTCAGCCAGTCCAACCTCTCTGAAGATGCATTGGCCCAGGTCTGGGATCTGGCAGATATCAATTCACAAGGTCACTTGACTCGCGATGAGTTTGCTGTTGCCATGTACCTCATCAGACAGCAGAGACTCAACCCCTCTACGCCACTTCCTGCTACGCTACCCCCTAAATTGATCCCCCCGAGTATGCGTAGCCAGGCGCGCCAGTCCGCCGCCGGCTCGCCCTTCGACCCGCCGCCCATGGTCAAGCCTCCTCCGCCGCAGCCGAAATCTGCCATGGACGACCTCTTTGGTCTCGACACTGCCCCCATACCGCCGCCTCCCGCTCCCCGACAAGACCCCATGTCCACTGGCGGCTCTGGGACCGACCCTTTCGCTGGTGGTTCCGCTAATGCTGGCCCGTCCTCACCCCTCGGCAACACCTTCAAGCCATTTGTGCCAAGCTCGTCTTTTGGCAGAGGTTTAACCACGCATAACACTGGCTCGCCCGTCACCTCTCAGACCCCGATATCGGAGGACCTCCTAGCTGATAACAACCCCGAAGAAAGCAGCAAGATTACCGGTGAAAGCACCGAGCTTGCGAACCTCTCTAACCAGATCAGTACGCTTTCCACGCAAATGCAGGAGACGCAATCCAAGCGCACAGCAACTCAAAACGACCTGAATCAAACAAACACCCAGAAACAAAACTTTCAACAAAGACTTTCTCAGTTACGCACGCTTTACGAAAAGGAAGCCCAAGATGCACGCGCGCTGGAGGAGCAGCTGCGAGCTTCCAGAGCTGAGACACAGAAGTTGCAAGGCGAATGCATGGCCCTCGAGGGTAACCTGTCTGATGCCCAGGCCGAGCGTCAGAACATTTTGACTCAGCTGCAGTCCTATCAGCATGAGAACACCACCCTTCGTGAGCGAATTCGGGTAGCCAATGCTGAGCTAACGCAGCTAAAACCCCAAATTGAAAAGCTAAAAATGGAAGCCCGCCAGCAGAAGGGACTGGTCGCCATCAACAAGAAGCAACTTTTGACTACGGAGGGCGAGCGCGATAAGCTCAAGACGGAAGCGGCAGAGCTCGGCAAACCGCCGAGCGAGGAAACATCTCGTAGAGCAGAGCCTAGCTCCGCTATCGATCCTCCTGGTGGCGGAATCACCAGCCCTGCGCTCTCGACAGCGAGTGGAAACAACCCTTTTTTCAAGCGCACTGCTAGTTCCGACATGATGGGCGTTTTCTCAACCCCGTCCGGCACGGATGAAATATTTGGCCCCTCTGCCGGTGCTTCCGGACAGGGCCCGGCTCCATTCCGACCGCAGACCACCGGAAACTCGTCTACGAGTGCTGGATCTTTCATCACTCCGCCCAGTGGGACACCAGTCCTGAGCCGACAGACTACTCTCCGCGTCGACAACCCCCCACCTCCTCCAGAGTCACGGCAAATTAGCTCCAGCCTCCTGCCTTTAGGTGGCCCAGCCGAGTCTGTATCCTCTTCTCGTCATGTGTCCCCGCCGGCTTCGCGTGCTGGTGGCTCGGTTACCGATGGGCCCAGTGTTGTCAGCCAGTCAAGTGAAGAGGCGAGTAAAGAAGAGGAGGTGAAGACTCCTACGGCGGACGATGGCAAGGCTGTGGCAAGCCCCGGCAAGGACAAGTCAGCACCGTTTAGCGACGACCAGGAAAAGGCAAAGGCTGACTTTGATAATGCTTTCGCGGCCTTTACTTCTACCAAAACTGCTGTTCATACGGACACTGCAACGCCCAAGGCCAAGTCGGCATTCGACACTGAATTTCCCCCAATCTCCGAGATTGAGCGCGATGATGAGTCTGACTCCGAAAGCGAGCAGGGCGGATTCGATGACGACTTCGCCCCCACTTCCCCGGGGAAGAACAAAACTGCTCAAAAGGCCGCTGTCCCCGTCGCCGAACAGAACGAAAAGCCTGCTGAAGCTCCAAAGGAAGAGAAGCCCATCGCGCCGGCTACCGTCACCGCCCCCACGGCTGTTCAAGAATCATCCGTGGACGACATCTTTGGTCCGTCTGCTCCGACTGCCAACGCCACGGCTCCCGCTCCTGCTGTGCCACCCAAGGTTGGCGCATTCGACGACTTGGATGATGACTTTGAGGGGCTAGAAGAAGCCAAAGAAGGCTCTGCGGATGACGACTTTGCCAACATTTCCCGATCTGGCTTTGAGGACTACAACGCGGCATTTGATAGCCCGCCCTCCAGTCAGCTCAAGAGTGACCATGGCGCCTTTGGCAACGAAAGCAGCTTTGACTTTATTCCATCCAACCCGGCTGGCGCCGACTCGTCCAAGAACGCCGAGTCTCATGACTGGGATGCCATCTTTTCTGGACTTGACTCAGCCGACCCAATTGGCAGCACGACCGCCGACACCAAGAAGGATGAGGGCAAGACGACGGACCGCCCTCCAGGGATCGGCCGCGCTCTCACTGACAAGGGCGAGCACGATGATCCGATCCTGAAGAGCCTGACCGGCATGGGATACTCGCGACCTGACTCTGTCGGTGCCCTGGAGAAATACGACTACGACCTGGAGAGGGTAAGCATACGAAGGGCATGAAAATGATTGCATTGCAAGCTAACAGAAATACAATAGGCTGCCAACTACCTCGCCAGCAAATCTTAGTGCCTTTTGCCTTGAGCTATTGTTTTCAAAACTATATCTAAGCCCTGCCAAAGGTATACGAACTATGACGAGCGGATCAGCCAGTTTACAGGCTACCGGCCAAGTCACCCTTGCCTCGATAATATGTGTTGGTTCCGAGGACGTTGGGGTGGCTGGACGGAATTTTTTTTTTTTTTTTACATTATGTTTGCCCTCTTTTCAGATGGAGTTTTCTCAGGCCTCTCATTTACACTACTTTTTCTTGGTCACTTACTTTGTAGTAATTTGTCTCTTTGCTATCAATTCATGGAACCAATACAAACAACTCGACGTGCAAAAAATTCCAAACAACGCCAAAACTCATGTTTATCGTAGCGTGGACGCTTTCTGAATGCATTGCAAAATCCCCACATCATCTCATTCTCAACAGCACGACTCTGCTTCTCCCCTGTTTTGTATAACCGGTTCTAGCAAAACTTTATTTAACCTTGGCCATGATGGTCTCTGGCCCGCGCACGACCTCGATCTGCGCGGCGCGAGCCTTGACGGCGTTTAGCATGGCGCGCTCAAAGTCGTCCCTACTACGCAGCACCGCCTCGACCCAGCTAATCTGCGTGTCCCAGTACGCGGCCTTGAACGCCGCAAACTCGTCGGGCACGGCGGCGCGGTCGGCGGACAGCAGGGCGAGGAAGCCCTCGGTGACGCGCCAGGTCTGCTTGATGGAGGCGGCGACGTCGGGGTTGTCCAGGGTCCCGAAATACTCAAACGCAGTGGCAATGTCGTTGAAGAGCTTGTCGCGAAAGGGGTCGGCGCGGCGAAACTTGGCGCCCTTGTTGCGGACGCTCGACAGGTAGCGGACGAGCAGCTCGTCGGCAAAGATTTCAATAAAGATGTCGACGAGGGAGTGGTGCAGGACGGCGCGGTAGTCGCCCACGTACTCGTCGAGGGTGACGACCATTTGCTTCATGGCGGTGGCGGCGTACCAGCGCGGGGTGAAGAAGTCGGGCATGACGGACTTGAAGTCGACGGCAAAGACGAGCTGCGCAAATTTGTTGATGCACCAGGTGCTGCAGTCGACGTAGCCGTCGCGCAGGGCGGCGAGCTCCTGCTCGACGCGCTCGAGGTACTGCGGGGTGACGTGGGGTTCGAATTTTTGGCGGAAGCTCGAGAGGTAGCCGAGGCGCGTCTCGTCGTCGCCGTCGTCGATGCACGCAATCTGGTCGTTTGCCGTGGCGACGAGCCAGTCCTGCAGCGCCTGGAAGCCCTCGAGGTCGTCGACGGCCTTGCCCGCCACCGTCTCGTAGCGCAGGGCCTCGTCCTCGAGCATGCGCTGCTGCTGCTTCTGGCGGGCGCGCAGGCGCGCAAACATGGCGTCGATGACGCCCTCGACCACGTCGGCCCGCTGCGACGTGGCGGCCGCGTCGACTTGCTCGCGCAGCATGCGCCATAGCGCGACCAGGTTCTTGGTGCGAAAGTAGCCGTACTCGTCCTGGTCGAGGTTGGAGGACCCTTCGCCGCCGCCGCTGCTGCTGCGCTCGGCAAAGTCGCGCGCCTCTTGCGCAAAGATGCGCTCGATCCACTCGTCGAGGAAGCGGATAATGAGCTGCCGAAAGTCGCGCACCAGCTCGGCCTCGCGGTTGTCAATGACGTGCGGCGCGAGGTCCGCCTGCGCGTAGCCCATCTTGGCCATTTTTCGGTAGTACTTTTCGGGAAAACTAATGATTTCGAGCGTGTGCGCCGACGAGGCCTCGGGGTCGTCGACCATGCCGACGAGAAAGTCGTGCATGAGCGCGTGGTAGCTGTCGGCGTAGAGCTTGCCAATGTTCCATTTCTTCGGCATGAGCGGCGTCATGCCGACGCGGACGGCGTTGAGGTCGTTGAAGAACCAGGCCATGATTTTTTCGAGGCGCTTCGGGTCGTCGAGGAACTCTTCGCGGGCGGCGTCAAACTGCTGCTCGGCGCCGAGCTTGATGGCCTCGAGAAACTTGGCCTTGTAGCCGCGGACCTTTTTGGCGCCGCCGTCGGCGATGCCCTGGAAGCGGACGGCGATTTCCTTGTGGTCCTTGAGAGCGTCCTGCAGGGCGAGCACGCGGCGGTCGCTGCGCTCCTCGGCCTCCATGATGACGGCGAAGCGGACGACGAGGCCGTTGTTGTCGTTGAGGACGAGATTGATGAGGTTCATGGCAATCAGGCCGACGTGCTCGTCGAACCAGTCGACCACGTCGTCGAGGCGGGCAAAGTAGTCCTCGAGCGTGGCCTCGAGGCTCGCGTCGTCGGCGCGCTGAATCTGCTCCATGGCGTCGTCGCGAATGTTGCGCAGCTGCGTGAGCTCGTAGTGGCACGGCAGCAGGTTGGGCATGTTTTCCTTGTCGTCGTCGTCCTGGCGCAGCATGCCCTCGACCACGTCGAGGCGGCCGTCAAACGTCTCGAGGTTGCGGCGCATCGTCTCGACGGCGGCAAAGTTGCGGTGCGCCTGCGAGACGAGGTTGATGCTGGCAAAGTCGTGAATCATGGTCTGCGACTCGGAGCACAGCCGGTCAATCTGCATCATCTCGTCCTTGATGAGCTGCACGGTGCGCTGGCCGTCGGCGAGGCCGGCCATGCCCGACTGCGTCCGCTCGAGCTGCTCGCGCAGGCCCCCGCGCAGCTGCCCGTCGACGGCGCCCTTTTTGCGCGCGAATTCCTGCTTGAGCCCGGGGATCTTGTCGAGGTCGTCGGGGTGTCGCAGCAGCTCCGCGAGCTTGGGCACGGGCGCGTCATCCATGGTTAGCGGACCGTTTATGTGTGTTTGTGTGTGTGTGTGAGTGTGTGTGGCGGTGGTTCTGTCGGCAGAGAGGCTGCAACAGGTGGTCAATCAGACCATGTTGCGGGGTGTAGAGAGGCCAGTCAATGGCACGTTGTTGCACCGGTCGATTGAGGTGTGTGCTTTCGTTGAATTGCTTGATTGATTCGTACCCTGTTGTGTCGAGAAGCTTTTCGAGGTTCCGGCCCCCTTTGATTGCAATAGCTTGAGGAGCATCCAGCCACAGTCGTGCACGCTAAACCGGCTGTTGGCTGTGGAGTTGAACGGCCCCGCCAAAACATACACCTAGCTGCCGCAAGCTGTGGCTGTCGGAGTGCATCTAAAAAGCTGCAGACAGCTTGTGCCTGAGTCTACTCTTTAGATGCCTACAATGTACTAATTCGTCATGCTATATAAATGAAGACTTGGTAACCGTAACGTGATGACATGCTTGATGACTCCGATTTATCCTGTTTCGATAGTAGCCATGTTTCCGAATTCAGTCTACGACGAAGACCGGAAAGACTTCAGTGTGGCCATGCAAAGAGTACAAGTATAATACAAGGCACCATAGCCCGTAATGCAAGAAAAAAACAAGAGATCCCAAACACCTTGAAATGCATGCGTTGCACAAGTCCCGTCCACTGTGCTATTAGTCCTCTTCGTCCTCTGATTCGCTCGACGTCCCAGAGCTGCTAGTATCGTCGTTGTCGTCTTCCTCGCCCATGCTCTGCTCATCAATCACTTCGCCCTCCACCAGTCCTCCCCCGCCACCATCGCTATCCTCTTCCCCATCCTCATCCACCTCGCCCTCCTCCTCATTCGCGCCCTTGCGCTTCTTGGCTGCTCTGTCGCCGCCGTTTCCACCATCACCACCACCACCACCACCACCAGCCGGCCTGTCCTTGCGCTTGGCACTCCCGCTGCCCTGCGGCCCCGCCACCCCCGGCGACAAAGTATCCTTGGGTCCTAATATATACGTCTCGGGCAGCATCTGGCCGCTGCGGAGCACGATAATGGTGGGAAACTCTAGTACGCGCGTGTTGGCCAGGACATTGCGGAAGCAGTCCGTCACCTGCAGCGGAGACACCGTGACACGCTGGTCGGGCCGCCGCGTCTGCGGACGGCCGAGGAAGAATTGGTATTCGTGCTGCTTCTCTTCAGGCCACATGTCGATGCTGGGCCCTGTGTAGCCGAACCACAGGCCAGTTTGCGGATCTTGCAAGGTCGCAGGCGACGGCCAGCATCGTGATTCGGGGAGGCGGCCGTAGTACATGGTTTGGTCTTCGGTCGCTCGACCATCCTTTTTCGCCTGTCGTCGCTTTGCGGCTTGTTGCTCATCGAGCATCGTTCGGTACGCTTCGTGCAGGGGCACGTCATCCATGACCTTCGACAAGAACCTCGTCGCGCTCGCCGCCTCTCCTTGCGTCGCCTCCACACGTCCATCATCCACCACGAACCACTCCACCTGCCAATTGATTCTCGACGTCCTCCTATTCAACGTCGTGTTGTTCTCCTTTTGCCGCGTCATGCCCGTCGGAACGCAGATAACCTCCACGTTGAGCTTGCGCAGCCTTTGCGCCAGAGAACGCTCAAACTGGCGAGTCCTGGCCTCGCGCAGCAGCCGCGTCACCAGCACCCTGCGCTTGCGCCCGTCGCGGCCCGTCTTCCAGCGCACCTCCTGCACCGTCACCGGCCGCAGCTCCTCGGCCTGCACCAGGCGGCGCTCGTCGACGAGCACGCGCTCGGCGCGCTCCAGCGACCGCTCGATGCCGTGGAGGAAGTTGTAGTCGTGGTCGACGCCCGCGGGGGTGCGCAGCCGCGAGGGCGGCAGGTATGTCGTCGGGTCGCGCGCGCCGCTGCACTCGCTCCACGCCTTGTGCTTCTTGGTGCAGGCCAGCGAACAGCTGCGCAGGCCGCACCGCGGACACTTGTACTTGGGCACCTCGATGTGGCAGATGGCGCACAGAGACGTCAGCATTGGGTCGGCCATGCTGTGCGCCTGTGGTGAGATTTAATGGAAAAGTATTCGTGGAAGAAAGTGTAGAGACAAGGAGGAGAGGTGGTTGCGACGGCTGGAAAAAAAAAGGTTGGAGACTAATTATCGCTAGTTACCCGCTAAAAACAGTCACCCACACTACAAACCCACAATACAATTAGTTACATCGTAAAGGTATGAAATCAGCAAGTTTTGAAAAGTATTGAGGAGCTTTCCAAGGTAAATTGTAAGCGAGCAAACAAACAACTACATGCAAGGAGCAAGTTTATCAAGAGGAACAAGATATATACTGCCAGCAGCCAGGAACTCGCTTCCCTGAACTTGAAAGGTCAGCCCGAGCTCTTCAAGACGCACAGGACAGCAACTATTTAGCTATTTTGTTCCTGCTTTATTCTTCCTTGCCTTTCTCATCTTCCATCTTCTTTTTGTCTGACTCTGCAATTCGTAGCATGAAGCCTACAAGACGTCGAGTAAGTGCTCCCTGTGGCCCGCAACCGGCTGTAATGAACGGGCCATATCGATGCATGACGACGAAAGTCTTCCGTCAAGAGGATCCACGGGCCAGCAGCGTCATAACTAGTCGTTCAATCCAAATTATCAAGCAGGTAATAAATAATGTGCCTGATTGCATTGTACTTTTTCAAGTACTCGAGCTCGGATAGCAAAGTTCGGGTGGCCAATACTCAACGAGTTACACAGCACAAAAGTCATTATGGTTGAATAAAGATCAATTCATCCAACTTGCTCGTACACATAAAAGATCCAAGTTCTGCCAAGCCGTCGGTACATACAAATAGATACGACATATAGAAAAAGTCAAAGGAACGCCACACCGTAAAGCAAGAAAGACTAGAGAACAAGAAAGAAGGACGAATTACCCAGCGTACAAGCAGAAAAAGTCCAGTCAAAAGAAAACTCGCCCGCCGAATACATATAGCCAAAAAGCTACATGAGCATCCAATAAAAGTCCCAACGCAAGAGGATATATGGTGGCCCGCCATCATGACGCGTCCAGAAGAAAGCTTGTTAAAAAAGCAAAGCAAGACGGTGTAATAATAATAATAGGTAGTAAATCAAAGTCAAATAGTCCAAACCCCGTCATTTTTCGTAGCCTATGTTGTTAAAGTGTGCTCAGCGTGTACCGCCCAGTGCGCTGATGCGTGCGCCAGAGGGTCTGTGCAGCAGCGAGTCACTGTGCTTGGCGACAACGCCGTTCTCATTGGCGGCGGCGCTGTCGCTGCGGTTCTCCTCATAGTCCTCCTCGTCATCTTCGACAATCTTGGTGGGTACATCCTCGCGCTGGCCGTAGTACTGAGTGCTGTTGCGCTCGGGCGTCGTCGTGGCCGAGACAAAGGACATGGCGGTGCTGCTGCGGTTTGGCACCAGATCCGGCGTCGGGGGGATGCTGGACGGCCGACCGGAGCGGCGACGCAGTCTCTCCTCGCCAATCTCCGAGGTGGCAGCAGAGTGGCTGTCGTCGTCGCTCTGGGCGGCACCAGAGAGGGCACTGTGGCGACGCGATGGCGTCTCGGCATCCTGGGCCATCTGTAGGCTCTCGACAGCAGCCTGGCACTGGTCCGCAATGTTGCGAACAATGTGCGCGATCGCGTCTGTCTTGTCCTTGAGGTGACGGTCCGCAACGTCAGCAAAGCTAGCCGCGGAGAGCCTCTTGGCGTTGCGGGATAGCCTCAACGACTGCGTCTGTTCCTCGGTCATGCCCTCGGTGCTCTCCTCTTCGTCGCCGGGCAAATCGTCGTAGAAGCCCTCCTCAATCTCCTTGACGAGCTCGTCTGGCTTGGTCAACGACTGGATCAGATGCTCCATATGGTGGCTCTGTCCACCTATGAGGCTGCGGAGATGCAAAACGACCCGGCGAGCCTCGTCGCGCTGGCGCGCAAGGGTGGTGCTAGTGTGCTGCAGCTGTGAAAGCTCCTTCTTGTTCTTCTTACGCTCACGCTCGAGCTCCTCAGCAATCTCTTGCTGGAGAACAAGGGCCTCCAGAGCATCATCGCGCTGCTTCTCGGTGCCACTAAGGCGGGTCGACATGCGCGCATTGTCCTCCTTCTGCTGGTCAATGAGGCCAGCAAGACGACGGTTCTCACGCTTGTGCGTCTCAATCTTGACCTTGAGATCCTGGGTCTCCTTGGTGAGCTGCTCCGCAAAGGCCTGAAACTTGAGAAACTGCTGCTTCCAGCTTTCGAGCTCTTCAACGAGATAGTTGTTGCGCTTGTTAACCTTGTTGAGCTCGGTGTCCATGCGACCCTTCAGGTTGATGAAATCTTGCCATGCCTCCTGGGCGTCACGAGAGTACTGGTTGCGCTCTCGGATAATTTCATTCAGATGTCTCATGGATACCTTGGTCATGAGCGGCTTCTTAACCGATCCGCCAAAGACAGCCTTGATGCCAGTGTTGCGGCCGAGCTTTTCACAGACGTGATCCATGACAGCCATAACAGAGTCCTGGTTCCACCATTCAGGATCCTGGATAGACTCGACCTCTCCACGCATAACAATGATTTGGCCAGCAGGGACAAGCTTACCGCCACCGTAGGCAGAGCGAAGATGGTGCGGCACACCGGCAGGGACAACATCGCCGTTAAGAGCCTGGGTCAAGCGAGTCACGAATTTGTTGCGCTGGCCGGGAGTGAGCGCGGTAGGAGGACTAGAAGTGAGAACAAAGTTGCGATCCAAGTCAACAACGAGGGCATCGTTGGGTGCGTTGAAGAGGGAGCGGCATTCGGCAGTGACACCGAGGATGTAGGGACCTGGCTCCTGGACAAGCTCGCTAGCATGGCGGGCATGGACAACAGGAACATAGAGACCGCTCCACTCATAGACACGCACACAGTATCGGACAGTTTCGGCCGCGACGGTGAGCATGGCAGGGTAGTGGCTGACAAAAATAATACGGCGAGTAGGCGAGATTGCTGCCTCAATGACACCAACAATGTTGGGAATGGACAGACAGTTGAAGAGCGGCCACATGGCAAAGTTCTGAAAGCCGGTCGGGGAAGAGGGGAACTGATAGCAGAGCGCATAGTCTTTCATGTCAATACGGACAAGGTCGTTGAGTCGGGGCGCGGGAAAGCTGAGGATTCGAGAGACTTCCTCTGCGTGGAAGAGATTCGTCGCCTTGTTCCAGTGAATCCACATGCCACGAAGATAATCGCCCAAGAGATTATACAGAGGATATCGGGAGAGGAAAGAAAGGCAGTAGGGGATCCAGTACGTCTCATCCGGGTTGTCGTAAAAGTCGGTCTCTGTACGCTTGCGCAGGTCACGGATAGTCTCGGCTCGTTTCTCATCAGCCCGGGACCATACACGCAGGCAGATGCCGTAGAGAGTCTGGGAAGAGTCCTGCTGCAGGACGAAGGAGTGGTGAGAGCAGTGAGGCTGGCTGCGGCCCGTGCAAATTTCGACATCATGAGGGAAACAGGCCTGAATGGCTTGGTTAGCGACACGTGCATCCGACTTTGCAATCAAAGTTCATGTACGAACCCTCATAGCGGCATGGAGAGCTCTGGCAATCTCATTGTCCTGCTCCAGGCGAGGACTGCTGCCCAGAATCTCCGGAAGCCAAAATTGGCTCACAGCCCCCTTCATGTGTCCAATCTTGCCTTGAACGGGCGCGGGGGCCCTGACCCATTGTGATGGCTCGCGGCCAACACCGCAAACGAGATAGGCGTGTGTGAGAGTCTTGGGAGTGCGCTGCTGGGGCTTGGTGTTGAAGCTCGAGGGAATCGGCTGGGTAATGCGAGAGTGCAGCGAGGAGGTTCGGCTGGGGATGAGCATGGTGTCGCCGCCATTCTGGTCGCGAGTAAGAGGACGGCCCTCGCGCTCGCCGGTGCGCGGGCGGGTGAAGCTGGGGTGAGCGCTGAGAGACGGAGTCATGGTGAACAAGGGAATCTCTGTTTCGCTCGAGAGGCTCTGGATGCCTAGAGTTGTTCAGATGATTTGCTGGAGAGACAGTCAGCAACCAATTTTTCATTCAGCCATTTGACGCCTGAGTGGGAGAAGAGAAGTGAATGAGAGGGCGGCGGTAGCACGGTTGATATTGACTAGGAGTGGACCGACCAGGGGGGGGCCGACAAGATGACAATGCCGTGGCACCGCATACAAGTATGATTGAAGGCAAATCAAGTGGGAGCGGGACCTGCAGAAGCTGCAGTAGCTGCAGTGGGCGGAAGATCCGGACCTGGGGCCCAGGGCCCAAACGTCGGCCGTCGTCACATTAGCTCTCGCAGGGAGCCAAGGAGCATGGCCCGCCTGAGGTCATGACTAGCCTCTTGGTGTACAAGGATAACTAGAGGCACTCATTCGCGGGAGAAGAGAGGACGAGGAGGTGGCGCCCACCCACACACATTCCAGCAAGGTACGAAGTATCGGTACCAGCAAGCGGAGCCAGTCGACTGCTGTGGGCTGCTGCACCCAACAGGCGAGGGTTTGCAGCCTATTACCCAAGCAAAACGGGCAAGCGTTATAGCAGCTTCTGATTTTGGTGCTAATCATCGTTTCAGACCATGGGTAACCCCGGTTGGCCTTTTCCTTTGCGACCAGCCTAGCCTTTCGTCGTTGCCTCAATTCTAACATGTAGAGTTTTATCGACCCCTAGCAAGCCAGCTGAATGGCGAATAGCGGAATGGCACCGAACAGGGATCAAGGGCAAAAGGAGACCGCTGGCAGAGGTCAGTAGCCGTCTGTACCAGTACTCCCGCACTTCTTGCTCCATCTCGGGTGTCCAAGCACCAAGCCACTAAGTTAGGGAGAGGCGCGTGTGGCGCAGGGGCCCCCTGAGAGGAACCAAATTGAACTCCACGGCTTGTATCCAGTCACCAGTCCCTCATCGGCAGGGCATTAGACGGATTAAATTGTTCGTCAATGTATTCGTACGGAGAAGCGTGCGGCGTACGCTAGGTCGGTGGAGAAGGCGGACGAACAGACGGGAGAACTTAACAGCAAAAGCAAATAGTGACAGGTACTCTCTGCACTGGGGAAGGGAAAAGGGTGGTGTGACGAGTGTTGTGTGCTGGACGTGAAAAGCAAGGAAGCATGACCACGGTGGATGGAGAGCCTGACCGTGCTGAGGAGCTGTAGCTTGTTGGCTTGGGGCCCCTAATAATTACCAGATGGGTTTTCTGAGTTCTCCTTGTCGAAATTTACTGGCACGTTAATTTCCTTCGTGCTATAGATCTCTAGCATGCAAGAGTATTGGTTTGTTGCCATGGTCTCCTGCGACAGTTGATGTGGAAGCTTGTTCGTTTGTTCAGCCTGTCTGACTAACTACGTACGCCTGCCAGCTGTCGCCTCATTGCGAAAACTTGGCAACATGCATCTTTTTGCATGACCCGGGCGAAAGGCATGCACGGTATATTTCAAACTCGATTCGTCTGCGATGCAAGTCGCACGTTCGAGCTGCACGATGAACAAGCTTATTAGCTCCAAACATTCACAATGCAGTGTGACAGCGTTGGTCACCGCGCGTATCGGGTATCGACATTGTGCTAATAAGATTTCAGGCACAAAACAGATATCAGCCTATTAAATGCCGTCATTTTTACTACCGGGGCTTGCGAGTCTACACTACAATGAGGTAACGGCCGTTATCATGGCCCGCCACAGCCGTTACATTGGCGTTATGACCGCGAATGCAACGCAGGTGGTGGCGTCAACAGCCTGCTCGGTCATCTCGTCTGGACAAAATCTCTGAACCGAATGCACTCTTCGAGTGGCCTGCCTCTTCATTCATCAGTTGCCAGCACGATCGAGATACGCGTTTCGACATGCGGAGCTGGTGTTTCGGAGCGACCAGTGACCACCACTGCGCTCCGCAGATTTAAAGAAAACGATCGCGAGCATAGGATGGCCAATGACTGCGCTCAGCGACTGATTGGCCAACGTTCCAACAAGTCATCAGTACTAGTACTTACTCAGTAATGGTTATTACGAATATTGTATTGCCCCTTGACCAGGGCCAACCAGCACCTTTCGATTCTTTCCCTAACCCCCGGCCTAGCTCTCCCACATCCCAGCAAGCCCAGTCGCTAGTCTCGCTACCTACGGGCCGGTTCGTTTCATGTTGGCGCAACTCTGGGTATCTATCGAGAACGAGACGAAAGGCATCCACGGAGAATTCAGTCATCCGAATTCACATCGCGACTCGTGCTGGAGATTCGTTGGCGTCGCGGATTTGCCCGTGCCACGGACCTCTGGAAATCTTACTCGAGGCGTGCATGCTGATGTTGCCGAGCCGATGCCTACGACCCTTGTCACATGTACTTTGTACATCGTTGTCCTCCGCGCCCTGACCACCAGTCTTCCCTAATATTACCGGCGACACGCCTAATTAATATCGTCTGCCGATGAGCCCCTTGGCCCCTCCTCGGTGCTGAGGCTGCACTGTGTTATTGATACGCGAGAGGCTTACATTGTTTCCTCCAAGGCAAAGCGAGAGCTGTCAACCGTCTCTGGTACAGTTTGTGGCTGCTGCACGGAAGCCTGCAAAAGGGTCCGAGCTTGTGAGCCACCACACCAACCTGCAAGCCACATCACCAGCATTTGGGCATCATCGGCAAGCACTCTGTAATTTGCTTTTGACGTGCAGTGTCTAGCATTTATGCGACGCACCCGCGCATGAAAAGATGCAACAGTCGCCCCCCCCCCTTCCCCTCGAAACAAAGGAAAACCTAACCGCAAACTCGCCACTTGCCCCTTATTCAGCTTCTTGGCCAACCGACAAGCGTGCAAGTACTTGGCTTGAAGCTTTCCAATAATTCCGATTATATGCATGGTTCAGTCTGGTGGGAGTGCAATTTCAACAAAGTCACAGACCAGCTGTTCGTACACTCGGTGAATGTGTACTCTGCGACCGCCATATATGCTTTCAACACCCGCAGCAAAAGTTTCAAAGCTGTCCTCGTTAGTAGGCTGCATGTCTCTGCTGGCCACGACTAACAGGTCAGTCTGTGAGATGTAGATGCGTATGACCCTGCAGCCTTACAGCTAGAAAGCGGAATTAATTCACTACCAGGACGGTGAATTTGGCCGTTCTGAAGCCCGCGCTACATATTTGCGAGACACATGAAGTATGTGTTGCGTCATGTTGCCGTATGACAGCGTACTCGGTAACACGATACTCTTCCCTGGGAGACATGAGCTATCATTTTGAAGTTCAATTCAATTACGGAGCTGTATGGCTTAATATTTGAAGGTTCAACGCTACATCGCCTCCTTCAGGGCCACGCCTTTTTTTGTCTTGTGTCTGTTGCCAATGACATTGAAGGTGAAAAGCTGTCGGTGATAATCTTCGCTCTTCAGCAGCACCCTTTTCATGATGGCTCCCTGACTGAACCTGGCCAATCCCGAGTGGGCCCAATTGCCCAGAAATACACTTCCTTCAACAATCTGGAATGTCTATCCTCGGGCCGTTCCGTTTTACAGAGAAAAACGACGAATTTTCGCTCGGGTTATGAATCACTGGAATCATTCAAGAGTAGGTCTCTATTGAATAGGCTGTTGACGCCTATCTCGTTCACCGTTCTTTGCTAGACCTGATTCCTCTAGTGGCATCTCCCTTGCATGGCGATGTCTATTTGAAACATGCAGATGGTGAAGGTGAGGTCGAGAGAAATTTCGACACTGCAGGGATCGTTATTGAGTGTGGAATCACACTGCGCCACCATTACACTTGAATTCGCCCTTGTTATTGTGGCCCGTCGCAGACTTCTTTGACGGCAAATCTTCTCAAGGCCGAGACGAGCTTTCATTAGCCCGCCGTTATAAAGAAAAGCGCCAACAGAATTTGCGCATACTGTTCACAATCGGTGGGTATAGCATATCCTCCAATTTGCTGCAACCATGACCTCGATGGATCTATTAAGCTGCTTCGCGGCCTCCGCGAGGCCGTGAGGTGGAGGGAGAGATGGATTGGGACGAGTGGAAATCATTAGTCTTTGGATCGCTACAAGGATGAACCCGACCTCCATTTACTCTAATCCAAGGAGAGCTGCGACAATCCCTAAACTTTTATCATCCGTGTTATAGCTGCGCCCTGACTTCGTATGAATGCCGACTCCCTGGACTAAGGGAAGCCACGGGTTTGGCACAGCACCACTAGGCACTGAATCATGAACTCTTCTGGCCACGGCAAGGGGCAACAATATTTGACGGATATCAAAGGACCTGGTCCTAGTCCCTGAAAACGTCAGTATATGAAAAAAGTCATCAACATGTCACGCAAACGTGAGAGTGGCGCGGAAATAGCCACATGTTTCTCCCTAAGCATGCATGGCTCACTGCTAGTTACAGATCGACCAACTCAATCGAAACATTGTTACGGATACATGGCCTGCTTCCAGTGAGGTCAGGCTGCGTTTTGCTTTTTTTTTTTTTTTTTCTTGCCGGATTCCTTATTGTTTCATCAAGAAAGGTCAGTGGCAGTGGGTGCTCTTTTTTTCTTTTTGATCATGTCTGTTCTCGTTTATCGTCGGCGCACTCATCATTGCTTTTTTTTTGTTGTCTTTGTTAGTTACACCGGCAGACCGGGCAGCCTCTTGGTCCCTCACTGACACCACATGCACGGCAGGGTATGGTCTGTGCCACCGGCTCGTCGGATGCATTTCAGCGCACACTCCTCCCCGGACCTGCTGAACTTGTGAATCTGCTCTTGTGCGCTGCAACATTTTCCAATTGAGCTTTCAGCCAGATCCTGGGCAAGGGACGAACAGCAAAGTTATGGAGAGTTGTCCCACGAATCGAACGGCACCAGATCTGATGCAATCCACCCCAGCTGTTCCGGTGCTTCGAAGTTTTTCCTTTTCAAAGAATGTTTCCTGCCTCTTCTCTGAATGTGAGACATTCTAGACATTCGACGCATCGGCCGGGGAAGACAAAAAGGTAAACTGGATTGGCGGTGGGGATACGAAGTATTGCGCACGCGTAAGAGTCTGTGTGGCTGCTTTCTACCAGTAAATTGCCGTGCTTGTGTCGTCTGTGGCGATATTTTGGAGACATTGCATGAATCTCTCTTGTCATCTTATGTCTTGTTCCCTGTTTCGGTGGTTGCGTGGGTACACGCCACCAAAGCTTTTCTTCTTTCTTCAACACCCCTCCCTGGTCTTTTCCGCACTCACCAATTGCTTGTCGCAGAGACGAAAAAAGATCATCGCGGCTGATCTCGAGCCCAAGAGACAGTGTGCTTCTCGGTGCAAGCGATGTTACTTTTTCCTCTCCCTTTTTCTACACCGGTTCCGCAAATGCGGCTAAATGCGTCGCAACTCACCGCCACTTGTTGGCCCATCCGAGATCGAGAGGGACCTCCGCCTGTGAGCTTGTTTTCTCAATGATTCTTTCCGGTGGCGCAGGTGAGGCGACCTTCATTCTCCGCCTCTTATTATTCACACTTTTCGCCATTGCATGTTCAGCTGTGTTGACTGTCAGTACCTCCACTTTGTCTCGGCGCTTCTGCCGCCTGCGCACCCTCCCACAAACGGAGTGACAATCATGTCGTAGAAAGAACCCAATTTGACAAGAGCCCAGGCCACGGGAGATGATGCTCAAAGTACGAATGATTGCATTTCGCTAGCACTCTGCCATCGCTGTCAAACATTGTGGGCGCTTCAATGCTTGGTCAAAACATATTTCGAAGGAAATGATCAGATTGGGCAATTAGCCAAGAAATCCTCCCTCACAACCTGACTTGGTGAGCACGGAGGCTAACAAGCAAAATGCATTGTGACCCTCCTCGGGTTGTCAGGATCTCTGAAGACAACTTCACCACCACAATATCAGAAAACCACCGCTGTGCTTTGAACTTGTAGATGATGTCAGCTTCAAATCAAAGACAGACCCAAAATCGGACATTTCACATTCTTTAGCCACTGTCGCGAGGACAAACAAGTGGCTAGATGAAAGCGCTCTCACCTACCCTATACCTCCAACATCACAATGCGACACTTTAAGACGTTGCAGCGCTGATAAACGCATGCGCCCTGACGGGGGCGATGCACGCTTTCAATTTCCGGAGCTGCGCAATCCGCAGTGCCTTGACTCGGATCATCACCACAGTGAAGCCTCGAGTTCATGGTGGCGCGAACGGTACCTCATGTGAGCGGCGCACCTCACCCACCGGCAAGGCTTCTCCAAGATGTACAAGATGTATCTAGGATGCTCCTTCACCCTCAGTGCACATGCACGCACCGAAGGTCTCATGCGGCATCGGCGGCTTGAAATCGAAGCTCTTCGACATGGCGGCGCGGGATATTACGATCAATGACCTTGCTGGCGTTGAGATGACCGACCGCCGACGGCGGGATCGAGTGCACCGCAGACGTTTCGACAGGCAACGGCTGGTGGCTTGTCAACAACCATTATACTCGACGCGCTCGAGAGCCTACTCGCCAAGGACCGCGTGCACCACGATGCCATCGTTGAGACGCTCGCGGGTGAGCTAACGAAGCGTGTCGCCAAGCACCAGCGATGCCGCCTATCGTCGTCGTGGCCGCCTACCTTGAATTCACGGCTAACGTGCTGGCCGAGCTATAAAAAGAGACGCGGCTATATATGTCAGTCTCACTGACGACAATTATTGTATGAGGTTATTGGCTGATTCTGACCGATTGGGTTCGATCTCAGAACCCGCTCCACCCACTCGTCCCGGACAATTTGTCGCATTGAGAACTTATATCTACATATAAATCAATTCCATGTATTGATGTATCATCAAATGACAATTTGCAACTATACGACATCATTTTGTCTTTGGAAAGCAATGTAATTACTGCCTGCGCTACCTCATAGCCGTGTCAGTGACATCTGACACCGCGCTGGCGTAGGGATGTTGATGACTCAATCTATAGAATTATGAGACCAAACTCCAGCAAAGCGCGGCAATGACAGCTCAATCTGTCCAGAAGTAATGTATCCTTACGCGATCAGCTTTGTCCCGAAAAGGTAAGCACAGTGTCCGGCAAATGCTACCCAAGATGGCGATGGCGCTTGGGATCATGTGCATCAACGCAATGCCGAATGCCCGTCGTTTATTCTCAGCTGCGGGCTACATGAGCGGGTTCCTGCGGTGATTTGGATTTGCAAAAGCAGACTCTTTATTATATTGGAGTCAAAACCAGTCAATCCGGGATACAAACTGTGCGACGACACTGTGTTGATGGGACGATTCCCGTGTAAGTAGTCACGGGTGATCTGCTGGGTTTCAAGGTGTCGACCAAAGGCCAAGAAACTTGAAAAGTGGCAACGAAAAAGACTTGCATCTCCGAGACTGGTAAACTTTGCAGGTGAGTTTCTAACGAAGACTTCTCATATGCATTCCAAGCTAGAACATGAATGTTGGTTTTCAACCCCGTACGAATGCCGATGTGGGTTCACTGTCAATCGCAGCAAACCTTGTGTGAACAATCTACATGAGACCTTGCAGCAGACTGAGTTTTTTGTACTCTGTCATGTCGATGAATTTGACTTTTGACGGTATGATGTGCAAGCACAAGAAGTTTATCCCTTGCGCGCTACCTTGACATGCATGTAGAGCACCTGCAAGCCACTTCCACCCTCGCGGCAGAGAACGATTGGCTTCCGCTTCATCAGCAGCCAAGCAGCCCTGTCCCCGGGATTACTCGTAGACTTGAGCCAATTCAAAAAAAAAAAAAAAGTATGAGAGAAGAGAATGGCTAGTTCCCAATTGGTCTCACCTATCATGGCCGGAAAACGTGGCCGCGGAATCTTTGGCGCCTCGCGAAACAGGTCGCATAAGCAGTAACTCGGCGCATCAGACGGGTAAGTCTGGCCCCCTCCCCCCCCATGGCTGCAGATGGCATCGCGCGACGATTAAAATTGTCCACGTTGAAAAGATTGGTCCTGTTGTCGTGGAGCCAGCTTGAAAAAAGCAGAGTCTTACACCCATGCGCTCGGTGATATTTAACGAGCATTGCCAAAACCTTTTGTATATAGAGCGCGCAATGCCAACCCTTATGTCTATGGGCGCTTTATTCTAAACATCTTTGTGCAGGCGCAATCCGGGGCAAAAAAAAAAAAAAAAAAAAAAAAAAAGGAAAACAGCAATTAATTCTTTTACTAATCTACACTAATTTTCCACAAATATCTCATCATGAAGGGTCTTTGCGTTGCTGCCTGCACGCTGGTCCTCGCCGCCGCCACACCTCTCACCCCGAGAGAAAACACCTGCACACAGGGCTCCAAGACTCCGTACGGCGCCCTAACGCACAGTGCCTGCCCCTGCTGGAACTGGTACGAGATTCAGACGGGCGATGGCGACTGCGGCAAGGTGGCCAGCAAGTTTGGCGTCAGCCGCGAGGACGTCATCCGGGTGGAACCCGGACGTGAGCATGACTGTTGACGGCACGTTTTACGACTGCATCAATTTTTGGCCGCAGCAGCAGATTTGCGTGGGTAAGTTAAAAAAAAAAGAAAATTGGGGGAAATATTGAAACTCCGTGTTGGACTACGCATTGCGCAAGGAGAGCAAACTAACAAAAACATTTGATTATCCCCAAAGGTGTCACTCCTCCCAACCCTCTTCCCACGCCTCCGTGCAACGCCGCCGACGCTCCGTATCCAGTCGGCAAGGGCACCGTCTGCGGCTGCAAGAAATGGTACCGGATTCGGCGTGGTGATGACTGCGGCCCTGTCGCTTCCGAGTTTGGCATTTCGGCGGACCAGCTCATCGAGTGGAATCCTTGGCTGTCGGCCGACGTCGACGGTACTCACTACCCTTGCATGAATATATGGCCCACGGATAACCTCTGTGTTGGTAAGTTTACTGGTTCTTTGCTTTTCATGTACGTTTTTTCCCCAAAGAAAGAGTATTGACTGGACTCGATAAGCCGTGTAATTTTTTTTTATCACGATACGCTGCCATAGATGTCTCATCATTTTAAGCGATTTTGCCGAAGCTACATTTTGTATATACTCTTTCGACTGCTGGATAGAACCGGCTAGTTAGTTTCAAAAAATGGAATATTCTCCGGCTGGACAGGAGTGGATGCTGGCTAACTGTCGCTAGACGACATTGTGTACATTTGGAAGTAAATTAAAACGGGCCAAGACATTACAATCTTTTCAAGATGGCTCGTCGTTGCTAGCCTACTGACTGTTCAAGGCAATGTCAAAAATGTCGTAATTTTTCCACGCACGCGTATTCGCGTCCCTGTATGTGACTGGAACAGAAAGCAGAAGCGGAATTCTCTGCTCCGACAAGCCTCCGTGCGAGCGCAGCCGATGGCCCCGGAGACCCGACAAGTCGTGCTCTGCTTCCTTGGCGCCCAGCACCGCATTCTCCTTCGCCACAATGACAAAGTCGCCCTCTCGATCCAGTGGCATTTCAAATCGAGCAGCAGCTTGCTCTTTGAGTAGCGAGACCTCGACCTTGTCAAACGAGCCGATGAACGCGGCCATGGCGGGAATATGCCCCGCGTGGGACTCGGGCACGTAGACGCGCACGAATCCGCCGAGAGCACCGTGGTGAACAACAAAGGGGTCGGCGATGGGACAGATGACGCGTGCGCAACCCAGGCCGAATTTCTTTTCAAGCTCGTCCTGAACATACAAGACGACGGGGTTCCCGTCGGCGTCCGACTTGTCGCTCATGCCGTGGTCGCCCGTGACGGCCACGACGGCGCCCAGCTGGAGACACTCGCCGATTCTCTCATCAATCGTCGCCAGAAACTGCTGCGCCTCGCGCTCATGCGGCGCGTACTTGTGCTGCACATAGTCTGACAGCGTCAGGTACAGCAAGTCGGCCTTGTCCTCGCGCAGTAGCTTGACGCCGGCTTCGAGGACGTAGAGGGACAGCTCCGCCGAGTACTGATCCGGCCGCGCATCGTGGTGGCCCAGCCAGGCCAGCACTTTGTCGCTGGCGAGCTGCGTCGAGTAGCAGATGGCGTCGGGGCGGTCGAGGAGGCCGCGCTGCAGGATCTTGCGCAGCTTGTCCTTGGCCGTGACGGCGGCCACGCGGACGCCCTGCGCGGCCATCTCGGCTAGGATAGTGGAGCCGCGCACGAGGGCGTCGTCGACAATCATGGTCTCCTTGCCGGTGAGCCGGTCGAGGAAGTAGTTGGTGGCGATGCCGTGGACGGCCGTGGGGGCGCCGGTGATGATGGAGACATTGTTGGCGTTTGTGACGGACGGCATTGAGCAAGTGGCGGTGGCGTGAAAACCATTGCTCATGAGCTTGGCCATGTTGGGCAAAATACCCTCGGCGAGGCCCGCTTCCAGATATTCGGGATCAAATCCATCAATGCAGATGATGACCGTTGGTTTCCGAGGTAGTTGATATGTCCTGCCGTGGAGAGTAACTATCATCAAGGGTGTTGGCATCTGCGATGCAGCAGCACGGCATAGCTTTGCTTACCAGACTGTGCATTCGACATATTGACAAGACTTTTGAATTCTTTCAAGATGGGGTGCTTTGATCACGGAACGAGGAGCCTTTTCTTTGAAATATACTCTAGTTGGGGTGGATGGTGCAGCTTCAGCTGCTGCCGCGTATCCAGCCTAGCGTGCCGCCGGCGCGAAGACCGAAGCCTGGCCGGCATCACGACTGCACCAGAAGCATGATGACTCTAATTGATACCGAATGCAAATTGCACTCGGGGGTGAGACCACATATATGCATGTGCGGAGTACAGCAAAGCATAGCAATGGTACTCAACCTGGTCATGACAAGGCGGTCACCTGTCCGTCATGGCCGTCCGTGTACCCGGAGCGGGGCCGGTACTTGTAGCCATCGTTTCCTTTTCCGATTGTTGCCATACTCCACGTAGAAGTTGCAATCTTTTCTCTCAAAGACTGCACGGACATGATGCTCAAAGAAATTCCGAAAAGTCTGCTTGATCAATCAAAAAGTCATAGGTGCCCATGAAAAAATTATTCGCCGGCTCCCCAAACATGCCCATAACATCATCTCCGTCGGCCGCCAAGCTCAGCGTAGGATCCTGCAGCGCAGGCTGTTGATCGGCTGGATCGATGCCTGACTCTGCAAGTGGCCCAGGCGCCTCTTGTGACTTCATCTTCTGCACAAGCCCGCGCATACCCTTGGTCATGCTCACGAGCAGATGCCTCCTGTGCATCTTGGACGTGACCTTTTCCAGCGCCGTGACCGTCTCGGATATGAGTGGCCGGATCTCGCTGCTATTGACCTGGATGAAGCTAGAGTACTTGGAAGAGACTTTGAGGAGAAACACAATCGAAAAGGCGAGCATGGTGCCAAAGTAGATGGGCAGGCCGTCAAAGAAGGACTGCAGTTCTTCGTCCGCATTTACCAAGCGCAGGATTGACATGGCAGACCGCACGGCGGCATTGGCAATTTCGTCCAGCTCCATCATGACCTCGGCGGATTGCGTCTGCATTCGTGTCGCCCGCGTCGCACTGCCACGGAAAGCGTGCGAGCATAGATATAGCTTGGAGAAGTGGTACTGCAGCACGACTCCTTTGCGCGGGTAGTTGCCAATGTGAGGGTTCGGCGCAAATCGTTCCATCCATTCAGCGCGAAGTGTGTCCATGGCGATGTTATACCGCCGTAGCGCAGGTAGATCCGTGTCGCCCAGCGGCTGATTAACATCCACACCAAAGGAATCCACGGCTTCGGATAAAACAGTCCAACGCAAAACATGGCTGACTAGCCGCGCATCATCTTCGGTTGTGTGCGGAAAGTCGAGAAACTTCCTCACGCTGCGGATCGCCTCGCACTGTCGCGTCAGCGGAGGGCGTCCAAACGGAATGCTGAAATGATGATCGCAAATGTATACGAGATAGTATAATCGAGCATTGAGATATGCCTTTTTGTCTCCTCGGAGCGCTTTGAAGAAGCTCTTGTGCAGCTGCAACTCGGTTGCCATGCGCACAGCTGTGCCAACAAGGGTCCATGCAACCTCGCCCAGCCAAAATGCGCCGATGCAGAGTGCGCGAATGTCGTCAATGTTGACGTCTTTGGAGAATGTCTGCGAGGCGCACTGCGAGAGAAAGGCGGCGCAGCACGATTGATAGTTGGGAGAGGCTAGATGCAGTGCCCCGACAGTGGACACGGCGGCAACGAGTAGTGGCGAGGAGGAGCGAACATTTTCGAGAGTTCTCGTTTCTACGTCGCCAAGGATACGGTAGGGGAAGTGATCTAGCCTGGTTTGATAAGCGTCAAAGTATCTCTGAGCGGCTTCGAGTGTGATGATGCCGCGCGATATAATGTCGCTGCAGTTGGCAAGCCGCGGCTGCGCCTCTCCTTGTGAGATGTAGAACCCGGGAAGAGAGCCGGGGCTGGACTCTAGATCCATAACAATACTCCAATTGTTGCCAGTGGGGTTGGCCTCTTTCAGAGGCTCCAGCTGGGTGCTGCAATGCTCTGGTTCCTCCGAGATCATTGTCGTGTCATCAGCCTTGTCTGCGGCCGTGGTGATATCAGCTACACTGTCCTGATCGCCATCGAGAAGTCGCAGGATTTCTGCCGAGTCGGCGCTGCTAGAAGCGCCGTTGCGAAGAACAGCCTCTATGCGGTCAATTCTCCTTTCCATTTGGCCTTTCCAACTGAAGGGATTGGCATGTTAGCAAGTCACAATCGTGAGCCCGTCATCTCCCGTCACTTACAGATTGTCATTTTCGAGTAGCATCTGCAGACTGCGATTGACGGTGCACGGTAGTCCGCGCTTCTTGCAGCGAGTGCAAGGCGGTTGCGCATCTTTCATATGACACTTGATCTAGCATCGAGTTGGTACGAAAGCCTCCGAAAGTTCATGGTCAGGAAGTACACCCCAAGTAGTGCATTACCTTTTGCTTGCGACACGCGACACACGCGGTAATCTTTCGTGTGATCGTCGGCGCCGAGCCGGCGGGTTCTCGATCCTGACCGACAGCCGGGCCTGTGCCGTTGCTGCCAGATACCGGCATCTTGAGCGAGATATATCAGATGAAGATGGACTATAAAGGTGATACGAGCCCCCAGCGGAGTGTGCTGTGGTGCTGGGTAACTGCGCAGTTAGCGGCAAGGCTACTGTGCTGACAATTGACGTCGCGTGCCGTCTGGTCCCTGCAGCTAGCTACACGCTGCCGTGAGACAATTGGGTAAAAAGTTCCGAGACTACGGTCAAGTCACCGCATGATTGTGAGATGCTCGGGGATGAATTGACTGGCCTTGGATTTGGGGAATTTGCAGGACTTGAGGCCGATTACCCACCTCGGGCTTCTCGCCGATTGTTTTTTTGCCTGGGTGCCATTTCGGCTTAGCGCGGAGCCTGCGGGCGCTGCTTGTTTGACTTGCCACAACGTTGCCATTTTACTATCTTGAGTTATTTAGTACTTGAGTGCTTGGCATATCCAGCTCACAGATGGAGGTATTTTTTAGCCATCTAGTATCTCATTATACTCCCCCATCATAATGACACATAACAGCTCGACGCCAAACAGTCAGGCCAAGTGAATTGGGACAATCTCAATTTTCATCAGGAATTATTTCTCTCCGCGGCGCAGCCCAGAAACGATTGCGCGTCTATACAAACTCATTCAAACTATATTAATACAGAAACCGTTCACCATCCCCACCAGCCTTATGCCTAGCTTCCAGACTAACAGCGCTGCGCCTCGTGAAAAAGGAAAGGCTACTTGATTTGAAGACGAATTAATAAAGTTCACCACCGCTTAACCCCCCGCGTTTGACTGATCAAGAGTCTGCCTCGGCGATGGCGGACCTGGAGCGGCCTCCAGACAGATCTTATCCCAAATGTAGTTGCAAAGTTGCAGTAAACACACAAGTAACCTGCATACGCGAATAAGAAACCAGGCCAACATCGCGCACTGTTTTGCGGCCCAGAAGCTTCGTCCCTTTCGTACTCGGCGCAAAACACACTCGTCAAGATTGCCACCATGGCTCACCGTGCAACCGCCACCTTCTTCCGCCCCGCGGAATGGGAGAGGCAGGCGGGCGTCATCATGGCCTGGCCTGCCGCCGCCAACGACGCCTATCTCGACGACGACAAGCAGGGCCTCAAGGACGTGACCAAGGACATCACCACGATTGCCGAGGCCGTGGCGCTGTTTGAGCCTGTCACGCTCGTCGTCACGCCCGAGCGCCTCGAAGAGGCCGAGTCGCGCTTCAAGCGCGCCAAGAACATCACCCTCCTCCCCATCAACGGCTACCCCAAGCTCGACCTGTGGATGCGCGACATGGCGCCAACCTACGTCGTCAACGACGACCCAAACGAGGACGCCCGGCTGCACGCCGTCGACTACAACTTCAACGGCTGGGGCGGCAAGTACCCTACGGGCACGCGTAGCTGCCTCGCGCGCATCGTCGCCGCGCACAGCGGCATACCCGTCGTCGCGTCGTCGCTCGTTGCCGAAGGCGGCTCGTTGGAGGTTGACGGCGACGGCACGCTCCTCATTACCGAGAGCTCCGTCCTCATCGACAACCGCAACCCGGGCCGGGGCAAAGGGTGGGTGGAAGAAGAGCTGTACCGCACGCTCGGCGTCGACAAGATTATCTGGCTGCCTGGCCGGCGCGGCCTCGACATTACGGACGGCCACGTCGACGGCCTCGTGCGCTTCGTCGCGCCGGGCCGGGTCCTCCTTAGCCAGCCTAGCAACACCGATGACGCCGCCGCCGCCGACCCCTTTGTGCAAATGTACCAAGAGGCCCGTGACATTCTCACAGGCGCTACCGACGCCCGCGGCCGACGGTTCCGCATCGCGGAAGTCGCCGAGGCGGACCTGGGCAAGCTGGACGTGAGCAGGCGGGTGCGCAAGGATATTGAGGGCGGCAAGGAAGACTACCCGTCGCTGACGTATGTCAACTATCTGGTGGTGAATGATGGCGTCATTTTCCCGCAGTTTGGGGATAGGAGGGCGGACAAGGCCGCGCTCAAGATTATACAAGAATTATATCCGAAACGGGAAATTGAGCCCGTTTACATGTATGATTTGCCCTTTTATGGTGGTGGAATCCATTGTTCGACGCAAGAAATTCCTATTCCGACAAACTGAATTTTCTTCTCCTGTTGACTAGTTTTTTAACAATCCACAACTGTGTTCAAGTTGGGGGCGGATAAAAAAACAATATCATTATATGTAGTAATATGTCTTGGGGAACTGCATTGTAGCCAGCTGATAGACCCTTGTCACTTAATAAGTATCGGAAATTTGTTCTCGACCCGAAACCTTGTTTTTAGCTCACTTTGACACTTATGCAAGTGATATCATTCCCGACCCCGTAGTTGTGCATGAAAGTATGCACCTTGACGCCGGGTGCTGCTAGTTCCGTCGCTCGATGGGACCCAATTGTGCAGAGCCACAAACGACGCCTCTTCATTTCCCTCCAAGACCGGCATCCATTTTCGAGGCGTTTTTCCTTTCTTTTTTTTCTCACACCTATGTTGCTATCAGTAGTCATGTTGTCGCCCCTAGTTAGAACCTGGGTGACGAATACACTCGCCTTGCATATTAAGCATGTGATCCCGGTCATACCACGGAAATGCCAACTACTTGGTTGGAAGGTATACTGTATTCCGATACATGATGGCCAAGAGGCCCCTGCGTGCATCTCGGGCCCTGCCGCTACTTTATCACCGGAAAGTTCTCGGCGAGCCGGCAACCATTCCAGCCATCAACCATCGTGCTGTGAGAGTGGTTGGAGTGGTCTGGGTCGTCGCATTGCTGAGCAAGATTATGCTGCCTCGGCATTCCACTTTTTGTTTTTAGGAATGTGAGAAATGAGGGCAATGATTGGCAATCTATAAGTTGTCAGCCCTTTGAGGCGTAAAGTCAAAGCGCTTTGTAGTGGGACCCGGGCTCTGTTGACTCGCAAAACACAAACAGAAGCCCGAGTACGAATAGGTTTTAATTGACAATACCCTGGTGTCTCTACCTTGTCCCATGCTTATGTATACCGCATTGAGAATATGTCCGAAGACGGTACAGCTTCCTACTGGCAGATTGGTACCAGGTTGGCGACTTTTCAGCCCCCCACGTAAAAAGTCTGGGGAAAAGGCATACACACACACACACACACATACAACAGTTACCAATCAAGGGCTCTTCTGCTGAAACATTCACAAATGGGAAACAATGAATGCTCGTATAGTCAGCACCAACTCAGGAACAGCTGACCCCACCAGATGAAATCGAGAAAAGCAAAATCCCGGGTCGTGGCGTAGCTGTCAATCGGTCACCGCAACAGCCCGACGGTCAGCTCGTCACCTCCGTTGCGGGGTTTCGCCCAGAAGGAGCATCGAAAATTTCACAAAGAAGTGGTATCCAGTGAGCGATGCAACATGGTCCATCTTTCTTCTCCCTAATAAGAGTCACTCATTATACATGAGGCTCCGTGCTGATCATTGCAACTGTCGTCGCCCTGCGCCGGCGTCCCACTCCCTGGACAATGTCTTTTCCCCAAACAGCCATGTATATAAGACATTGAGCATTGCAGAATTCCATTCGCCGTCTGTATCATCCGTAGCCCTCTTCTACTCCGGTCTCTTTTTTACAGGTAGCCCCTAGTAGTCCCACCAATGGCGCGCCTCTTTGCCGCCGCCGTCGTCGTGCCGTTCCTGGCCCTCTTCGCCTCGCCCGTCTCCGCCGCCTGGAAGCCCTCGAGCGACACCAAGGCCGTGTGCGACGCCCTCATCCAGCAGTTCCCCGACAAGCTCGCCTGGGATCCCCTCGGCCCGTACGGCGTGAGCACGCTGGCCCGCGCGCCCGCCTACAACGCCGCCAACCTCGACTACTGGAACGCCGCCAACAGCCTGAACCGCGCCGCCTGCGCCTTCTTCCCGTCCACGACCGACGAGGTGGCCTTTGCCGTGCAGACGCTCAACCGCTACGAGTCGGTGCGCTTCGCGCTCAAGGCCGGCGGGCACAACCCGAACAAGGGCTTCTCGAGCGTCGGCGGCGGCGTCCTGATTGCGTTTCGGCCCAACCTCCAGACCGCCACGCCGTCGAGGGACGGCAGCGCGATTGAGATTGGCGCTGGGTGTAAGTGGGAGGATGTGTATGGCGTATTGCAGCCCCTCGGCAAGACGGTGGCCGGTGGCCGTCTTGGTGATGTGGGCACGACGGGCCTCATTCTTGGCGGTGGGCTATCCTACCTTTCTGCTCAGCATGTAAGTGACACTTTAGTAAAGCGATAGCTCTGCATCTCCTCCCCTATCTTTTCTATTATATCTATTTCCCTCTTTCTCCTCTGTCTCTCCCTCTTCCTCTCTCTCTCTCTCTCTCTCTCTCTCTCTCTCCTCTCC